AGAGAACTGGGCCCCCTCTTAGATGGGTTCCGGGCCACTCCAGGGGTAATCACCAACTACCAGGCCTTGGCAGGTGCTGGGTGGGCACAGTACATGCCTTTTCTCATTAAACCCTGCAGGACCCATTTTATGACAAGAAAGCAGGCTCAGAGAATTTAACTTGTCCAGAGCCTGGAGCTGAAACAGCAGTGGGTGTTGGTTCCTAGCTCAGCAGCCTGGGATTCTAAAACCTGGCTCTTAGGGCTGGGGATTTAGCTCAGTGGCATAAGCACCTGCCTTGCAAGCAAGGGGTGATGAGTTCAATCCCTGGTATTGACAAAACAAAAAACCTGGCTCCCCTGGCAGATAATTTATTTTGTAATTAGAAGAGATGCAAGTAACAGTGGTACGATTAACAACAGAGGAAGAAGTACATATAATCATACTATTCTGTGCATCTTTAGCATAGATTTAAAAAATTACTAGTTATGTTTGTAATACGTAGCGATGCACTGGTGCACACCCACCCCACATCTTGATCCTTTCTGCTTGCCTTCCTCGCCCTTCCCTCCTGCATCCTCCCATGTTTTTGTTTATTGAAGCAGGGTCTCAGTCCTGGGGGCTGGAAGGCTGAGATCAGGTTTTATGGGTTGTGCTCCCTGGGGTACGGGGTCTTCAAGCTTCTGCTGGCTGTCTATACTCCTTGGCTCTGGCTGCACCCCTCCAGTTTCTGTCCCATGTGTCACATTGTCCCTTCTATGTACAGTCTGCCTCCGATCCCTCTTGTAAGGTGCTTCTGTTTGGGTCTAGATGTCCCCCCAAAGCCTCATGTGGTCACAGGGTTTTTTTTTCAAAGGTGGCTGTATCTAGAGCATGTGACTGATTTGTAGTGCAATGCTGGGGTTAATGGTGCTGAGATTAAGGGTGGATGAGTGCTGGATCAGCCTTATCCCAGGAGACTGGATACAATGTAAGGGACAAACAGAGGACTGTCTCACTCTCCCTCATTGTTTTTGCTGTCCTCCACTGCCCTGAGCTGTTGCATCTCTGCCATGTGCCACCCTGCCTTGGAGCTAGTTGATTATGGACTGAAACCTCTACACACAGTGAGCTAAATAAACCTTTCCCTCCTTAATGTTAGGTGTTGTGTATTTAGTCTCAAAAACAAGAAAAACAACAAAGACATAAGGAATACGTGATTGCATTAGCCTTCTCCTAGTAACTCAATATAATATTCCCCACTCCAGACCTTACATCTTTAAAAATTCCTTTTTATTTTTAAATTTAACAAAATCTATGATAAATGCATGATTAAAAAATCCCTTTCTAATTAAGCAATGTCTACAGGTTGGGAATAAAGACATGGATATCTTCGGGTGAAGGGGCAAAGGTGTTTGCCCATTCCTTAATTTACTCCTTCTCAGAACTTAATTGCATGTATATGGGACACTGTGGGAGCTAGAAAAATTGAGAGAGAGCCAGGCACAGTCCCTGCCCTCAGGTACCTCATGCTCATTTCTGTGACCTTTCACACTTACCCCCCAGATACCCTTGTGATAATAATAAGCGGTGACAACAGCTTGGTTCTGAGGTTTACCTATATTACCTCCTGTATTGGTTACTTTTCTCTCATTGCTGAGACAAAATATCTGATGCCCACAATTAGGGAAGGAAAGGTTTGTTTAGCTAAAAGTTTGTAGAGGTTTCAGTCTATAATCTGCGGGGTTCCAAGGCAGGGTGGTACATGGCAGAAGTCAACAGTTCATGGTGGCAGAAAATGGCAAAAGCAACAAGAGCAAAAAGGGAGGAGCATGGGAGAAGACTCTGTCCCTTATATTGTATGCAGGCCACCCACCCTAGGGTGAGTGGAGCACTCGAACCTATAATGCCAGGATTAGACCATAAATCAATCACAAACTCTAGAAGCCAGCCCCTATGACTGCATAAAGCTTTGGAGGGACATCCAGACACAAACCATAACACCTCCCCAACTCAGACCTGTCCCCAGTGCAGGCTGGGGCTCCTCACCTGGCCTCCTGAATGAGCTGCCACTTTCACAGAATCTAGAGGGACAGGAAGAAATAGAGTAGGAAGGAGACAGGAGGAGGGCCCCCAAGCAGAAGGAGACAGGAAGACACTGGAATAAGAAGGGCAGGAGAAAGGTCCTACAGCTGCCAGCACAGGCAGTGGGGCCTCATGAGGTGCTTCCCACAGAGCAGGGACCTGACCAATTTTCTGTTTCTTCCTGGAGAATGGGTGGGAAATCCAGCTGTGCCTTCCATCTGTTTCCCAGCATTTTCCCAGCCTGCTGGAAATCAAAGGTCACCTGGAAGAAGCGGGGGACAGAAAAGAGGCTCATAGCCTTTCCTCTCACCTATCAACAGGGCACCCTGCTTTACTGGAGAAACTCCCTCTGACAGGCAGTCTCCAGCCCTGCAGTGGCCCCCTCAGTGAACTACATCCTGTTCCCACTTTCAAGGATCCAAGAACTTTGCAAATGGCACCGTCCTTGGTGCTCAGCAAGCCCTTCTGGAACCCCAGAATCTGGGACTTCCACACAGATCACACTCAGTCATTACTATTTAAGTGTCAAATTCAGCAGGGACCAGGGGCTGTGGCTCCTCCTCTGTCTCCCATCACAGCTCATACGTGTAGGTGTGTAGGTATTCAATGAAAAGAATGTGACAAACTGAGAGGACATGCTTGTGATCTGCTGTGCTGGTCCCAGCAGTCTGGTGGTGAACAAGAGAACCAGTGCTAACCCCACCTCTAAAGACCTCACTCAACAAAAGAGAAACTGCAAAGGGACCCATACAAAGAGAGCCAGGGGGATCAGGGCAGCTCTCTTGCAAAGGGACTTTAATTTGGCGAGGTCTTGTCTTGGGGGAGAACAGCAAATCTGGCTCTGGGCTGCAGGCTGGATTCCCTGGTAGTCACACGTAAGTCTGAGCCCCAACTTCCACCAGTGAGGCCAGTGAGGTTTCTTCTTCCCTGCCCACACCTCTTGGGGGATTTGTTGCCAGGGAGAGCTCTGAGAGCCATTTATTTCCGCAGCTCCCACCAGGGGGCAGACCCAGTTTCATCTTCTTTCTGTGCTGAGCATCTCAGGCTAGAGAAACCACAAGAGGGAACCCTTAGCAGGGTCCATGAGCAGGCACAGCCCCAGCGCCCACTCCTCACGTCTGCCGGGCTTCCTAGATCTCCAGTACTCAGCCTCTTCCCTCTCCCCTTTTACCCCCCTCCCCTTCCTCCCCCAGTTAGCAGGAAAATGGAAAGGAAGAATATCTAGCCCCTCCGCATGCATGTACTTTAACCTTCAGGGCCTGTAAGACAGGTATTACAATCCCCATCGTACAGACAGGAAAACGAGACTCAAAAATGTTGGCATCTTGCTGAGGGGCACACAGCCAGCAGAGAAGCCCGCGCTGCTTGCAGAGCAGCCTACCACCCTGAGTCTGTGGCTTCCCTGCTCTGCTTTCCCACGTCCCAGCCTCTCAGATCTTCACAGTCTCTTTTCCCAGGAGGTGCTGCCTTACATGGCTCCCAGAGGAATTAAAGTGTCAAAGGGAAAGGGAACTAAAGACCAGGTTCATCTCTGGGTGGGTGAGATTGCCAAGGAGGAGGCCGCCCCCTCTCAGAGAAGCCCTGTGGCTGTCCCCGCACAGGAAATACATAAGGTATTCAAGGTGAGCTGGAGAACCAGAGTGGATGCCAAGACTGGGAGAGCAGAGGCCTCAGGGTCCTTGTGCAGAACTGTGCCTGCCCCCATGCACTCCTTGCCTGGGCCACTCCATGGCTGTGGCTCTTGCAGGTAAAGACAGGCATCTCCTCTGGGCAGGGGTCTCCTGGAACTCAGACTAGGAGGTAAGGCAGGATGCCAGAGAAGACTTCTTGGAGGAGCACACATCTGGGAAGCGGAAGGCCTGAGCAGCAGTGGCTGGGCTTGGGGCTGACTGTTCCCCACGTGGCCTGTCCTGCTAAGCAAGGGACCATGGAGCGGCCTGAGTCCTCAGGGCTGGGCAGCTGGCTCGGGAACCTGTGTGAGAGCTGCCCTGAGGCTCCCTGTACACTACTAGAAGGAGTCTCAGGTCAGGCACTGCCACCAGCACTCAGGGCGAAGCTCCTGTCCTAGTACTGAGTTTGGGGGTGCAAGGTTTCAAGGGAGGGGGCCTCCCCAAAGTATGGGTGTCCCTAAGCCCCAAGGAGGCCATTAGGAGTGCCTCCTTTTTCTTTCTCCTGCTGCCCCAGTCTTCCCTCTCTTTGCCTTTCGGTGTCCCTGGGTTGGTCGCCCGCCCTAGCTGGCTCCACGCGTGCTGTGGAGAGGACTCTGGGGACCCGCGCGGCGGAGCGGGGCCGGTAGACTGTGCTTTTCGGAGCAGCACGGAGCCGGGCAGAATGGAGTCCCGATGACCGAGGAGTGAGTAGGAATCCGGGTCCTGACTCGCACAAGCTGTGTGGCCCGGAGTAAGTAATCCAGCCTTTGGGGCGGGGCTCAGCCTCCTCCTCTGAGTTGAATGTTAGCAACCTGGGAAGCCGCTGAGCGCTCGGAAAACGACAGGTGCTGACAAAGGGAGGACCGAGCCTCCAGGTGCTGGGACCGAGCCCCCAGGCCGGATGGCGGGAGCGGGCGCGGGCCCGGGTCTCCAAACCGCGACTCCTCCCGGGAGGGCGGGGCCTGGGGCGGCTCCCGATTTCGGGGCCCTCGCTGAGCTCGGCAGCGGCGCGGCGTCCCCGCTCCCGGCTCGGCAGGGGGAGGGGCGAGCGCGGTCACGCGGAGGGAAACTGAGTCCGCGGGGGGGCGGTCGTGCGCGGCGTGGGCGGCCCCACGCGGGAGGCGCGCGGCTCCTTTTGTCTCCGCGTCCCCGCCGCCGCCGCCCCTCCCCCGCCCCGGCGCCGCAGCTGACACCGAGCGGCCGCGCGTCGCACACCCGGGCGGCGGCGGCGGCGGGCGCGGCGATGGCGGTGGCGGCGCGGCGCGGGCGGCGGCGGACGCGGCGCGCGGCGCGGGGCTCGCGGTAGCTGCGGGCCCGGCGCGGATGGCGGGCGGCGCGGGCTGGGCGGGCGCCCCCGCGGCTCTGCTGCGCTCCGTGCGCCGCCTGCGCGAGGTGTTCGAGGTGTGCGGCCGCGACCCCGACGGCTTCCTGCGCGTGGAGCGCATCGCGGCGCTCGGACTGCGCTTCGGCCGCGGCGAGGAGGTAAGGCGGCCGCGCCGCGTCCCCTCCCCCGCCACCCTTCCGGGAGGGATCGGCCCTGTGGACCCCGTCCCTCCCTGCCCCGAGGCCGTGGGCGATGGACTCCGGGTGTTCCCGCCCGCATGTACCCTGCCTCTCCACGCCGAGCCCCGTGTGGCCCGCGTCATGCGTCCCTGCCCCCTGCGCTTCCTGGCGGTGCGGCGCCCTCCGAGCGGTCTGCAGATCCCCTCGAGGTCCGGGGCTGGGAGCTGTCAGATGGACCCAGTCACCACCGCACCCAGTGGAGACCAAGACGCAGGCGTGTTGTGTGCGCCCGGCTGGGCCTGGCCGAGGCCAGGGTGAAGGGCACCAGACTGGTTGCGCTGCAGTCTTGGCGCCTTGACTGCACCTGTCCTGCCTGGAACATGGAAGGAGATGTCTGCCTGAGGCCACTGTAGATCTCTAGGTCACGTTAGTGCCTGGTGACCTCATATGCAGACTCCGATGGGCAGGCCCGGCTGGCAGCTGGCTGTGTGGGCTGCGGCAGGCCAGCCAGAGCTGAGCCCGGTAGCCCAAGGCAAATGGTGTGTTTTCTTGGGGGTGGAGGTGGGTGGCAAGCAGGAGTTGTGTGCACGGATAACGCGACTGGACCTGCAATTGGTGTTATCAGTGGTGGACAACATAGTCTCCATAAATGCCAAGAGGCAAGTGTCCTCTTACTGCTGTCATCACCGGGACCGGTGACTGCTGGGGTGGGGGCGGGCACTGTCCTGGCTGGACAGCATCAGTGGTGTCATTCTCTTCTCACTTTTCAGTGGTCAGGGGTTTCTTCTGGGGACAGAAGCCCTGAGCGTTGGGTTTCCAAGGTGACGTGAGACTTGGGGCTCTGTGTGGGGAGCCTAAAGCCATGAGCCTCAAATGGGCACTGGCTGGCATTCTCTTCCTGGGACAAACGGGTCAGTAGTGGCATTTTGGAGCGTGGGAGGAGCAGGGTGATGACCAGTAAGTTTTGTACCTCCCTATCACGTAACAAGTGGGAGGGGATGGTGACCCCTGCTGGTGCCCCTGGGCCAGACCGGGAATCCCTGAGAGCGGTAGGTGGAAGGGACTGAGGCAGTTGTCAGGTTTGAGTACTTGGGTCCCTGTCCTAGGAAATGTGTGCTGTGATTCCCCTTGGCTGCTTGCTCAGAGTCATTTGCTGCTACCACCTTGATCCGTCTCTGTCCCCAAGGCCAACAAAGTCCCTCCTTTGGCCAGTGGCTCCTGCGTGAGGCAGGCTGAGCAGCCCCCAGCAGGAGGGGCTCCCCAGCTGGGGTACCACCCAGCTGGGGTATCACAGAGCTTTGGCCCTGGGAATGGCCTCTCAATGAACAGAGCTGGAAGCCTCCAGCCCCAGCTTCCCCCACCTTACCCCCGTGCTGGACAGCTATTGTCATTGGAACCTCTCTAATTCCAGTGACGGACCTGCTGGGCACTTCATCATCGTGGTACTTCCTAAGGACTCGCGTGTGCAGCGTTTAGATGTTTGAAAAGAGCCCTGCCCCCTTTCACTCCTTCCCCTCCTCACACCCAGCCTCCCTTCTCCATGCCAAGCCCCCTCTTATCAGAAGCCCAAGCGAATTCCAGATGGCCTAGCAGGGGCCTAGCTCTGGCTTTCCCCCGTGGTGCTGCCATGAAAATTTGTGTGACTCTTTGCCTGGCAGTGACATGCAGGGGCCAGATAAGAGACTGGGCCCCCCTTGGCACAAGGTACAGAGTGGGGCTTCCTTGCCAATGCTGCCAAGCCCTCCACTCACACTGTTTCTGGCCACAGAAGCCCCCAGGAGGCTGATTTCGAAACCTCTGCCAAGCCAGGGATTCTCTTTCTGCGGAAGGACCAGTGACTTCTGCCTCATTACAGAAGTGGTCTATGTGTATACTAGCAATTTCAAAATAAGATGCCTGTGTGACGCTTGCATTGATCACATCCTCAAAGAGCTGTTTCTGTGCTTGTCTGTAGGTCTTCTCTAAAATGAGATGATATTGTGCACAGTTTTGTAACCTAGTTTTTCTCCAGTGATGATCATCACCTTTCTGCTTTGATAAGTTTTCATCTCAGTTCATATGCAGACTTTTTTCACATGTCTGTATTTGATCCTAAAATGTACAGTTTGGTTGTTGTGTTTAAACCCATTCCAGCCCCAGGACTGTGCATTGCATTTGGTATTGCGACCCTCAGGTTTCTCTTATTCTAACACAATCCTTTCTGCACCCTCATCCCAACCCTGGAATCCTAATTCGAGATCAGGCCTGTGGTGTGTGCGTCCTTGACTGCTTGGATCTGAACCTGTCACTTGCCTCTTATTCCTAAAGTTTCTTCTTGGTCACATCATCTCAGTGCATGAGCTGAGAGATGTTGAGAGCCTTTCTCCTTCAGATCACTTCCAGCGCTGCCAATAGCTGGAGAGGCAGGCACCATGGTGTTTGTGGGAATCCAGGCTGATAAGATTCAGGGCAGGACCACGGACAGAGCCTGGAGGCTGGCAGGATGGCTCTGCCCACTCCTGGTGGAAACACATTTTGCAGCTGTCTCTGGGCGCACCAAATTCCCAGATGCATTTTGAAACAGGGGTGTCCTTCTCCAGAGGTGGAGCTCCATGACAAAATGCTGTGTATCTTAACAGTTTCTGTTTCATGTATTTAAAAATCAGGTGATGACATCAATGGTGCTTTAGGATTCACTAGATATGGGTTCAGTGTCTGCATTTTTCCAGGTGCCCTCAGGATGTTGGAGGTAGCAGGGTCCAATGCCTTGTACAAGTAGGTTACAGAATGTAGCATAAATAAGTGGTTTGATGAATGAATAAATAATGGGGAAACCTCCTTTCTAGAAGAAATCCAAATAATTTGTGTAAATGATTCCCCATTGAGAAAAGGAAATGTGAGGACACCCGGACCACTCTCATTAAACAAACAGCAGTTACCTCCATTCTGGCTAAACCTGGCCCTGGCCCCCATGTCCTGGTATGTACAGAGCTGGCTAAGCCTTTTCCCTTTAGTTGGCTCTGAGCAATATAAACAGGGCTGGCTGAGGTGCTGATGCGTAATCTTTGAAGCTGGGTGACAGTTTCTGTTTCCTACCTCGTGACTCCCAAAACATGGTTGGGCCCGGTGGGATGCAGAGTCACCACTCCAGGGCTGTGAACTGGATTTGAGCCTCAAGATAGGAGGCTATGACTTCCCAGAGCAGAGAAGGTGTGCATGTCGGAGCTGAAGCACCAGCCTCCTGAACATGAAATTCTACGTCGTTTGTGTTATGCAGATTGGACTTTCTGCTTATCCTCCTCTCTGCGCATTGCAGAGGGGCTTTCAGGCCTCCCACACAGCCCAGCTCTCAGTACTCACGTAAATCCTGCCACTCTCTCAGTCACTCAGCCTCTAGCCACTCCCTCTTCATGAATTAGTAAAATCCAGGTTATGGCTGGGGTTGAGGCCCTTGTTCTGTGAACTGTCATCTGGATTGGACTCAGGACCTTTGGCTGCCCTTAATAAATGTGTCTTAGTGTCTTTGTTCTCACCCTGGGCTGCACTGGAGGCTGTAGATTGGAATGAGCTTGCTAGAATTCCAATAACTTTTCCATGGAGTTACAAACGTAAACTCCCCAGACCACAACAAGGATGGGAAAGGGCCCGATATAGGGGAGTACAACTTCACCCCCTTAAGTATGAGAGGTGTAACAGCTTCCTTCTAAAGTATACAGTGCAGAAAGAGAGGCAGAGGCAACTCGATGGTGGAGACACCTGCTGGACTCGGGTGTCAGTAAGGTCAGTGTCCACAGGGTATAGCCAGTGTCACCCTGATGAGTCTCCCTCCCCAACCCTAGCCCCTGCATACACATGAGGAGAGCAGCAGTCATAGCCCAACAAGGGGCCAAATACCTGGTGCATACTCCTCAGAATGCTCAAGGTCATGGCTGAAGAGCTGTCACAGCTGAGGGCAGCCTAGGGAGCCAGGGCACTAAATGTAACATGGTGTCCTGGGTGGGATCCTGGAGCAAGAAGAGGAGGAAATTAGTTTAAAATGCAAGAAATTCAAATCAAGTGTGCACCTGAGTCAATTATATATACATATGGTTTTCCTCTAATTTAGTGACCTAGGAATCAGAAGGAAAAAGACAATACAGTGTGATGAGAATGTTCCTTTTAAGGAACGCAGAGCTTGGAAGGGACCCCACTGTCGTGACTCTGGGAGCTGTACCATGCCAAGGGCGTAAAGCGCCCTGAGCCACGCTGGCTTCTGACATCGGCTGTTTTTCTAACTGCTCTAGCTCTTTCCCTTCTCCTCCACAAAGTGGGGGGTAAGAATAGCCCCATTCCTTGGTGCTTGGCTGAGTTAAGCCTGGAAGGGCTTCACCGAATGGCTTCACAGACAGAACGCACAGAATTGCTCCTGCTCGTGCTGTTATTTCTGAAACACTCGACAGCGTGTTTGGCAGGCTGCTCTGGGCTAGGGAGTTGCTGGGGATTAAGATTGAGAACTGGGACAATCCCTGGTGTTTGCAGCCTTCCCTCCTCGCCCACTCTAATCTGTCAGCCTCTCTTCTCCCTTTCAACTGTGGCAAAATGGAAGACACTAAAACAGCCAGAAAGCCTGGTGTGTCGCTCAGGGCTGGAACATGAGCTCAGCATGCCGCTGGCCCTGGGTTCAACCCCCAACACCAGACAATCAGTCAGTCAATCAACCTGTCAATCAGTTGGAGATACCTTGGTCCACTCCTCCTTGTTATATATTCACCTTCTCTTTCTGGGTTGAAGACCATCCTGCTTGCTAGGAAACAGGAAACCTAGTAGCTCGCAGGTCTCTGTCATGATTAACACAGTGCCCTTTCCCCTGAGTCACAAGGCTGTCTTTCCTACTCAGAATAGAGGGGTTCTGTGGCTTCCAAAATAGGGTGTCACTTAGGGGAGTAACCAGCTTTAGCTAACCTGAACCCGGCCCATAATTTCTCCCTCTTTTGCAGCTTTGCCTGGACATGGCTGGAAGCAACCAGGCAGTGTGCTTCCTTGTTTACATGGAGAGCAGGTGACACAAGGTCTCCCCTTGGGCGCCCCAGCTCCTGCTCCTCCAGATTGCTGACAGCTATCAGGAAACACCGATGCCACTTGGCTGAAGCCTGGGTGTTGGGCCCAGCAAAGGGATGGGCTGCTGAGCCAGCCCAGTCAGAAGCCAGCCCGGCAGCCTTCGGAGGTACAGGAACTTCTGGAGAAGGAGAACCCAAGAGGTACAGCTGGATTCTGCTCAGAAGGGGCAGAGATTGGATGCTAGAGAAGAGAGGACTGTGTCCCCTACATCTGTGGCCAGCGGAGAAAGCAGGGAAGGCAGAGGCCAGACCAGCTGCTCTCCTAGGCGGGAGAAGACCCAGGCAGCCACACCAAGTATGCAAATAGAGAAGGGGCTGGGAAGATGCCTCAGGGCTGTGACACTTGATAAGAGGAGGCTGATTCTGAGGCAGAGTGTAAGAAAGCTCTGCGGAGAACAGGCCCTCTCCCTGTCTCTACCCCACAGAGCCCCAGTACAGAATGGCGGCGCTGGCCAAACAGAAGGAAAGCCCATGGCCTGGCAGAAAAGCGGATGTGCCCGTGACCTGCTGGGGAGAGCGGAGCAAAAATGGGCACACAGAGACGTTCTCATGCCTGCGTTTCCACCTCTCCGCATTCCTGTGCTCCCGGGCTTGCAGGTCATCGTGGGGGCCCAGAAAAGGCAACATCCTTTTGGGGCAGAGGGTGAGCCTGAGGCACCATGCTCTGGGGACCTGGATTGGGGGACAGGGCCAGTCCTGGCTGGGAGCCTAGCGCTCCAGGGTCCCTCAGACTCATGATTGGGGGACTTGTCATCTCCTCAGACAGCTTCCATGCAGCCTGAGGCCACCTGGCCAAACCTCACTAAGTGACAATGTATTCTCAAGGCCCTGGGGTCCAGAGCAGGAGGAAGTACCAGGGTTGGGGGGACTGGCAGGGGGTAGGGTGTGGGCTCTGCCTTCTTTGTTGGGATCTGAATGGGGAACACACTGGCCACTTTGGGGGAATTCGGGCCTTAATCAAGAGGTACCCTCAGAGGGGGTTCTGTGGGAGAAGAACCTTGAAGCACCGGCGAGCTCTCTTGGAATGTTTGGCTTGTGGAGTGACACTTTTTTTTCTTTTTTTCTGTGTGTGTGTGTGTGTGTGTGTGTGTGTGTGTGCATGCGTGTGCGTGTGTGTATGTGTGTGTGTGTGTGTGTGTGTGTGTGTGTATACTAAGGATTGAATCCAGGGTTTTCACATCCCTAGGCCTCTTTTAAAATTTTTATTGTGAGACAGTGTCTCACTAAGTCCCTAAGTTGCCCAGGCTGGGCTCAGGCTGTGTTTCTCCTGCCTCGGCCTCCTGGAGTGCTGGAATACAGGTGTGAGCCTCCTATCCAGCTGCTCTCCCACCTTTCCGCATGAGTGCTGAAGGGCACAGGGTCACCGGGCTAGGCAGGCAGAGCAGCCTGCAGACCCAGCCCGGGTCAGAGGCCAGAAACTTTCACCAGCACCAGAAGGGAAATGGAAGAGGCCGCCAAGTAGAAGGAGCTGCACAGGGGGAGGAGCACTGGGCCTGGGCTGGTGGCAGGGGGTGCTGGCCATGATCCTGGGACCTGGGTGGGTGGTGCTGAGAAGCTGCTCCTCCTTCAGGTCAGAGCTCCACCATCCGAGGAGTTCCATGCCAGCTCGGAGGTGCAGAGTCAGGCCCCCGAGTGCTTGTGCCCCGCAGCTTGGTGCAGGCAGGAGTACAGGTGTTCTGGGGCCCATTCATGTGGATCTGCGGCCCTGGAGTGTGTGGGGAATTCCTCCCCTCCTCTGCTGAGCATCCCACCAGGCTGGGGGCACTGGTACCTCGCTGGAGCTGAACACAGTCAGGCAGACCTGGGGCGGGAGGGAGGGGACACATCCACTGGCCTGGAAGCAGTGTGATCAGGCTGAGCTCACCAGCCTCCTTGCTCAGCCCCGAATTTTTATAGACTGCTTTTATCATCAGCTCTCCAGCTGAACGTTTTTTATTCCATTTACCTTGTTTGTTCCCACTCTGTGCCAGCCCTTTTGCAGATACTGGGTGATGGGACCTGGAGCTCACATGCTGGTGAGGGCAGGAGGCTTGACAGGAAAAGAGTAAACCCGACGTAGTAAATGAGCATTGCCTGCTCAGGGTGATGTCGCGTGTGGTCATTTAAGCAGGACCCAGTGACTTTTTGGTATTGGTGGGGCTCCCCAGGACCCAGGAAGGAGTGAGGGCTACCCACCGGGCAGAGCAGAGCAGGCCAGCAGTCAGAGCCGCAGCAGGGAAGAAGCTGAGGGGGGTTCTGTAGGTGCTCCCAGAGGGTGTGGGCTCTTGGTCTGAGTGAGGTGGCCCCCAGGGAGCCACCAGCTGACTGAGGCCTGGCTGGTGTGAGTCAACAGCAGGCCTGGGGGGAGAAGGAGACCATGGCAGGACTGATGCTGGTGGCATGCGGCAGGGGATGGCGGTGGGGCAGTGGCTGAGTTTTGCAAACAGAGCTGAATAGAAGCGGAGGAGAGGTCAGGAGAGAATCTGGAGACAGGTTTCTGTCTGCTGATGGAGAAGACCAAACAGGGCTGGAACAAGGACCCAGCGATGCTGAGATGCCCGCCTGACCTCCAAGTGCAGATAAAGAGCCAGAGGAACAAAGTCCAAGGCCCACGCCTCCACCCCACTCTTCCTCACCGACTTTTGCTCCTGCTCCTCTTTTTCTGCCCTAATGCTGTGTCTCACTGCCCACCAGAGAGGTTTACACAAGGAGAAGCCCAGAACCTGAATCAGGTGTCATTTAGCCCCTGCAGCGCTGAGGTGCAGGGACGCTGCCGGGTTGCCTTGGGCATCTTGCTTGGAGAATGTCGCCCTCGTCTTTCTGGGATGCTGCTGCCCACCTGCCAGCCGCTGCCTGAGAGCCACCCTGCGCCTGCTCCCTGGGCGGCCCAGAGCCTGCTGAAGCTGTCATTGCTTGGATGTACTGGGCTCCTGACCGCTGGCTGTCCCTAGTGGATCTTGTTGGGGTTTCATCCAGGGGCTGTTGGTACCCATCCACCCCTTTCTGTTTCCCACTTCCAATGTATTGTGATTCCCCCAGGAACCACAGCTTAGGGTCACCAATTCCCTGCAACCTTTCATGCTTAGGGACATAACTTTTGTGCTTTTGGGGACACAGGGAGCAGGGCATCCCAGAACCCAAAAGTTTGTATCCCAGTGAGCCCTCAGTCCTCCATGTAGCCATAGCCAAACTATAGATACAGAGATCCCTGGTCTTTATACCCAAGACTTCGACTCCAGCACTGACCACTTACAGGCACAGAGCTCAGAGAAAGCCACCAGCTTCTCCCAGGAGCCTTTACCAATTGCATACAGACCTTTGGGAGCACTGTCTTAGTCCAGGGCCAGCGGCTGGACAAGATAGACAGAGGCCTGGTTTGCACCAAAACAAAACCTGAAAGAGACCTTCCAGCCAGTGCTTGTGTCATTTCAGAATAGCCCTGCAAGAGACAGGGACTTCCTGCACCCCCGGCAGGTGCATTCTACATTGGTGAGGCTCTGGTGGAGCTCTCTTTCACATGAGGAGCTGAGGTCTGTTTGCTCGAATTCCATCTGTTCATCCTGCCCGTTCTCCCTCCCTTCACCTTCCCTCCCTACTTCCCGGCTGCCATGATGTGAGCAGCTGTTCCTCCACCACGCCTCTCTGAGCTGTTGATTCCTACCTTGGACCCAGTTAGACATGGACTAGAAATTCTCAACTGCAGACCAAATAAACCTCTCCTCCTTTAAGGTGTTGGTGTTGGGTATTTTGTCCCAGCATAGAGGAAAGCGGATGAGGCGGTGTCCATTTATGTACCCATTTATCCATTCATCTAGCTGCTTGCCATCCCTCCGCCCAGTCGTACATCCAGCTCTCCACCTGCTTGTCTCTCCACCCAGCCACCCCGCCACCCACCTGCCTGTCCTCCCACCTGCCCACTGAGGATCTGCGCACCCATCCTCATCCGTTTTCAGCCCCTTCCCCAGCCTGTGCCTCTGTCCCCTCAGCCACCCAACATCTGCCCTTCACTGCCTGCCATACATGAGGCACAGGCACAGACCCAAGGGCAGTGATGGCATTTTCACAGGGTGCTAAGTGGCTCTGTGCTGTGAAGGTACGGGAAGAGAAGGGCAAGTGAGCACCCCGGCTGGAGCAGGGGCAGATGGTGACCTGAAGGAGGAAATGGAAGCTGGGTTTGGCTGGCTCGGATGAATTTTGGAAGACAGAACCCCCCGGCACATGTCTGCCCTCTTTGGGATGAACTATTTTTATAATTTCACACTTCCCACATGGGCTGTTGGTTCCGGCAAGGGCAGAGACCTTCCTGAAAGCAGTGACAGTGCAAATTATTTTTAAAGGTGCAGTTGTGAAGGATGGACTTCAGTTTGCTTAGCTATAAAATAGAAATTGTAACCTTTATCTCTGGGACTGTTTAGAGGACCGGAAATGAGATAGATATGCAAGACGGTGTCTGTTGCATTTTTCCTTAGCTCCCCCACTCTGGGATCCTGCAGACATCCCTGCTGCCTCCAGTCCCAGGAGCGTCCCCTGGACCATCCTGTGGCTGGGACCTTCCAGGCACAGGGCCTTTCTGCTGCCCCTGGGGACATCCATGAACCGAAAGCAAGAGGGAAAGCGAGGAGCCGTCCCCTCACCTGCCACTGCCTTCGTGTCCCCCACTTCCTTTCATCCTTTTCACCCCGGAGGGTCTGACAGGTGAGGCGGCTTGTGCTGGGGTCCCCCAGACAGTGGAGGAGCTATGATTTGAAACTGGCCTGTCTGGGTCAAAAGCTGTGTGCTAAGCTGCCTGCATTTGGGGAGCCCAGGCACTTTGAAAGTCAGAGAGGCAGAGAAAGCTCAAGACAGAGGCTTCTTCTGTCTCCCTGAGCCTTGGTGGTGCTGGGGAAACGGGCACCAGCTCCGCGGAAGGCACCAAGGCCCTGCAGGACCCGAGTGGAGCTGAGGGGGCGCCTGGGAGCTCACCTGCGTTCTGCCTCTCTACTTCCTGTTCGGATAGTGGTTAAGTAGGCCCAGGAGTCGCTCGCAATTCTTGGCTGCTCTGTTCTGTAATCCTGGGCAGGCCAGGCTGTGTGGCGCTGGGGTCGAACACACTGATTATTCTCTGACAACCTGGCCTGTCCACTAGAGCTCTGACCACATCCTCCAGCTGCTGCACCTCCCCTGGCCCCACTGCCAGTCCTTCCAGCCACAGGCCCTGTGGCCACGGTGGGCACCAGCAACCTTTTACTGTCTGTGCCATGCTCCCCTCTGCCTTCTTCAGCACCCCAGTTCAGGCCAGGCTGGTTGTCATGTTGGAAACTGGAGTTCTGCCTCAGGTTCAGGTTTGAGACCCAGCCCCAGAATCTAATTTTCTGAAGTTACTGAGCATCTCTGTGTCTCGGTCTCCTCATCTGTCAAGTTGGGGGTGATGCGGGCGGTATGTGTAAAGCCCTCACTGCCCCACCTGAAGCACAGGAAGTGCTATAAGCCAGTGTGACCACAAGCACAATCTGGCTTTTTGGATATGCTCACCACGCATCACAGATTTGCCATTTCCTTTTGGGGGAAAACACTGAAAATCCCTCCTTTAGCAAGTCTGAAGTATACACTACCTATTATTGCCTCCCGTCACCTTGCTGTGCAGGCAGTCACCAGGCCTGCGGGTCAGGGACAGTCGGTGGCTTTGAGCAGCTTCCCCAGCTTCTGAGAAGCACTTTCCGCTCTGGGATGGAGATCAGCAACACACCTGTGGGCAGCGCAGGCCAGTCTTGTCCAGGTGTCCCTTGGAGCATGAGGACAGGGAGTTCCCTGTACTCAGGGAAGGGCCGTCCTGGCCAGAGGTGACACTGGGGCTCAAGCTGGAATGGGATCCTGCTCAAGCTGGAACGCTCTGCCATTGAGCTGCACCCCAGGCCCCTCGTCCCCTCACCCTTCACAGTGGACACACATTCTTATTTCTCCAGTGTGTTATAATCTATTTCATTATCTGTTCCAATGCTCAAAGGTATTTTGTTTTGTTTCAGTGGAATGTGGCAGGAGGGAAGGACGGGTGCCCCTGAGGACCTGCCCCCTGGCAGGAGGGACGGCAGGGAGGCAGGGAGAGACCGACCAGGCCAGAAGCAGGGCCAGCTAAGCAGAAGGGCCAGGCAGCCCTGGGGAGCTAGAAATGAGTCCATCAGCAAGAAGCCTGGAGGAGCTGAGCAGGGCCAGGCGGATGGGGCAGGACGGGTGGGGCAGCTTCCTGGCCTCTGCAGAATTTCACTGGAGCCCTGTGGTTCCTGCCTAGGTGACTGGGTCGGGTCGTGGGCCCTTAGTTGGTGCAGGGATAACCACTGGCTCTAGATGTCCTCATGCGTGCTGAGCCCACAGTTCAGAGGCCTGCCCTTACTCAGAAAGTCTCTACTTCAAAACAAAAACTGCCAAACATTATTGTCAATGTAGAAATTTCAGCTGGGCACAGCAATGCATGCCTGTAATCCCAGTACTCAGGAGGCTGAAGCAGGAGGATCACCTCAAGTTGGAGGCCAGTCTGGGCTACATAGTGAGTTCAAGGCCAGCCTAAACTCCAAAGGGAGACCTTGTCTCCAAAAAAAGGAAAAAAAGGAGAAGAAAAAGAAAAAGAAAAGATACTTAGATCCCTCGTAGGAAAAGAAAGCTAACTGGCCCTGAACGAGATTTCTGTGGCTTACCGTCCACATCGTGCCCTTGACAGTGTTCACCATGTGGCTATGATCAGTGAGAGCTGTTGGGCCTCTGTCCACCTACTACTGTTTCCGGTGTGAGAATCTCAGGCCCAGGACTGTCCCCACCCTTCACCCCAGTCACTGCTCCCATTTAGGGTTCCCTCTGCCCACAAACTCAGCCCACCTGGCAGGGTCCTGGGGCAGGTGCTCAGTCCTGGCTCCCAGTGGACTCTGCAGAGCCCACTGCTGAGCTGGTGCATGCAGAGTGGACCCCATGGGAAGCCCCCAATGGTGGAAGGGTGAGGGTGTGTGGAGCTGGAGTCGGGGGTGGAGGGAGGAGCCTGGACAGCCCCCGCCAGGCTGAACCTCGCTCAGGGCCCTCTCTCCCCTGGACCCACTCCCTGTCCCCTGGCCTCTGCTCCCAGCCTGGGTACCAGCAGAGCACTGGCCTCTGGTGTGTGTGTGTCTCAGAATCACTGACCTTTGGGGTCCAGCCCCCTTTTCTGGCATTATCTGGACTGTCCTCTGTGTCTCCCACCCTCCTGAGGCCTGAGCATGCCTGTTTCTCCTTATCCCAGGTCAATGTGAAGAGTACTCTGCATTCATTTAATAGGCCTGAGGTGGTATTTCAAACCATTTTTGTCTCCAAGGTACTGGGATTGAACCCAGGTCTTTTGCACTAAACCACATCCCCAGTCCTTTAATTTTTGAGACAGGACCTCAGTAAGTCACTAAATTACCCAGGCTGGGTTTAAACTTGTGATCCTCCTACCTCAGTTTCCCAGAGTGCTAGGTTTATAGGTTTGCACACCTGGCTTATGTATTTATTTTGCAGTGCTATGGAGACTACATTTTTTTTCCGTGTTGCTCTTTACTCCTTGTTGGTAGGTTGAGTTTTGGTCCTGGGGATCAACCGTGCATACTAACAATGTGCTCCGCCACTGAGCTACATGCCAGGCCCCTCATTCCCTCTCTGTGGACTCATGGATTCCTGTTTCTCCAGTGTGTCATAATCTATTTCATTATTTGTTTCCATGCTCAAAGGTATTTGTGTTTTGTTTCAATAACATCTTTCTCTTTTTTCCCTGTATTTTATTAGTTAATTTTAAAAGTTACTGAGTTTTATTATGGCATTTGATTTTTTTTGACATTTGATTTTTTAAAAATTTGTTTAATTTTTGTTTTTTTGAGACAAGGTCTCACTGAGCAGTTCAGGCTGGCCTTGAGCTCACTTTAGAGCCCAGGCTGGTCTCAAACTTGTAAGGATCCTCCTGCTTCAGCCTCCTGAGTGCTGGGATTACAAGTGTGCATCACCACACCTGGCTAATATTTTTACAAATTTTAATGGTCTAAATTAATGTTTCATATTTAGTGTGTTTTGTTACTACTAAGGTTAAAGTACTCTTTTTTCCATTGATTTTTTTTTCCTAGTTACATGTCACTAAGAATATAAGAATCCAACTGAGTTTTGTAAATTGACCTCTGTCTCACTGCTGCCACAGTGGGGATCTTGTCCAGGTTCTTGGTGTCCTGAACAAGGAAATGACCAGGACGACCAAAAGGAGCACTAAGATCAAGGGTTTATTGAAAGCAAAAGAACCCTCCATAAGGAGAAGAGTTCACAGTCCTGAGGAGGTTTGATGTTGAAGAATTTAGACATTAGGGTAGAGTCAGGTGTGGCGGTGTACACCTATAATCCCAGTACTCAGGAGGCTGGGTCAGGAAGGTTGCTGTGAGTTTAAGGCCAGCCTGGACTACATTGTGAATTCAAGGCCTGTCTGAACTACATAGTAAAACACTGTCTCAAAAATCAGTAAACAAAGCCGGGCATGGTGGCTCACACCTGTAATCCCAGCACTCGGGAGGCTGAGGCAGGAGGATCCTTGTGAGTTCAAGACCAGCCTGGGCTACAAAGTGAGCTCAAGGCCTGCCCAAACTGCATAGAGACCCTGTCTAAAAAAAAAAAAAAAAAAAAAAAAGACAAAAAAATCAGTAAACAAAATAAACATGAGGATTTGAGGCAGAACTGAGAGACTGGTCTGGGACTTTACTCTTACTGATGAGCAGGGACTCTGTCAGTTATTTGGGTGATGCATTTTTTCACTAACCCTTGGAGTGGTGCCCAAAGCCCATGGTGGGGTGGGAATGGGGAGCTTGCAACTGCCTTGCTAATGTTAAGCATGGCAAGTGGGTCCAGGTTTGGCTAAAGGTGGCTGAAGACACTGTGTGCACCTCTATAGACTGTGTGTGAGCTGGGTTAGCTGGTGACTTTCTCTTTTTGTATTTAAACCTGAATATCTTGGATCTGGGTTAAAGTTTAACTCAGAGAGCGAATGCAGCCCACCAGCCTTTCCCTACCTGCCTTTACCTACCATGAGAGACATAATCCTCATCAGTCACTCTGAGATGCCAGGGGACTGCAGGTCTCTTCTGAAACTGCTTCCGGCAGAGAGGGACACTGTTCCCGCCTACAGATTGTGGAACTCTCACCCTGACTGACCTAAGGGTTGGTGCACTACTGTGTAGGATTTGATAATATGGGGTGTAGTTTGGGTAATAGGGAAGTAGCGGGGAGCCTCCTTAAGGTCCAACGCGGAGAACCAACCAATGGAGTCTCCTGGAATCTGGGAAAGAATTGTGCAGTGTTTGGATCTGCCGCTAGAGGGTGGGGTAGAGTTACTGCCTCAGTGAGGAGCCGGAGGTCTTCCACACCCAGGCTTTGACCCTCCGAGAGAATGCGGATGTTGCAGGGAGACTGAGAAAGTCCAAGAAGCCCACATTTAGGAAATCCGTCTGCGAGGCTGCAGACTTGTATGTGCTGTTCTTTGACAGGATATTATTGTCTTCAGTGGGGAAATCGACTGGGATCTTCTAGCTTTAACTATGAGTGGTGCTGATTTTGCACTTCTGGGGATTCTGTGGTGCCAGGCAGCAGGATCTACCTGTGACTAAGCAATCTAGGGAGCTTTTACACAGTCTCAAAAGGCAGAACTCGCTTTCGCCTCTGCCAGTATTGAAGAGCAGCCCCTACTTTTAATAAGTCTCCTCCCATAGGGGAGTAGGGTGTCATGGGACAATTAAGAATTCCTGGTTAAACGCTTGATCTTCCAGGTGGCAGGTCAAAGCAGGAGTAAAGAAACTCTGTCTGAGGTTTCCTTCCTCCACAATGACGGCTCCAGACTTACAGGAGAGTTTGGTTAAAACATGTAAGCTGCCCCCATAAATGAGGAAACAAGTTTGCTCACCTATGATGCCCATGGTTCCCCAGAGTTCATTGGAGGTGATGGAGATGTTTTCAGACTGGACACTGCAGACTGCCCCAGGCTCCCTCAGTGCTGTCCACACTGAGTTCCCTTTAGAGTTTTGGTTGGTTGCATCCCTCTTGGGGGACTGGAGCGTTGATCCTCCATTTGCATAAGTGAAAGGCAGCATCTCAACCTACTGGGTTAGGCCAGTGTGTTCAGATTGAACCAGGGACCAATCTTCTTATGTTTAAAGCCAGAGCCTTGAGCCGGGAATTTAACTCAGCAGCTTAAGTGCCTGCCTGGCAAGCACAAGGTCATGAATTCATGAGTTCAGTCCCTGGTACTAAAAGAAAGAAAAAGCCAGAGCCTTGTTCTTGCCCCAAGTTTTATCTTTGGACAGCTTGGGCTTTGGGGTCTGGCTAATTGCAACAAACACCAGTTTTGCCTGCCTCTGATCTTGGCTCCTCTCTCCCTTTTCCTCTTCTAGATCCCAGTTGTTGAAAACAGAAAGGTCATAGCCAGCTCTTGGACCACCGAACTCTGGGTCCCATTTGTGACTTCTGCTAAATGTGGGGTGGAGTAACTTATGTAACCTTGTCCCTCATGTGAGAGCCCTTCCCTCCTAGGAGGGAATCATGTTTTAAAAAGCATCCTCTTGCCAGCTCTGAAGGATGGCTGGATTTTCTTTTCCTTGGGCAACCTCTCTGACCCTTCTCATTTACTTGGTTTTGTGCTGCTCATTTTTTGTGTCTGTGACAAGTGCCTGGATGATTTTGGCCCTTTGCATCCTTCCTCCCACTGTATTGTAACCCCCGTTGGGCTCCAAGGCAGGCACTGTGCCCTTGCTTGGGCTGATTTCTGTCTGTGCTGTTAGCAAATACTTCACTGGCACAGCACTGGGCTGTTTCTAATAGTCTTTGTTTCTCAGTTGGGGTGCAGCAGGTGGCTGAAACAAATTTACATCATGCCAAAACAGAACAACAGCCGAGGATAAAGTCTGAAACTCTTCTGTGCACCTAGAAGAATCTTCAGAAAATTGGCCTAAGTGTTCCTTGTATTGTTGGGTATCTGCAGCTGAAAAGGAGACTGAGACAATTCCTTCCACCGTGGGATCTCTCCCAAAAGCAGGCCAGGTTGTGAACTGGGAGATAAGAGGCTACAGTCAGTGGGGTTTAAAGCTGTCTTGAGGTCAAAGGAGAAGGCTGAGGGCTTTAGGTTTCTCTGGGGAGCTGGCTGCAGATGAGATTTCTGAGTGACTTGTGGAAAGTGGTACCAGTACACTGACTTTGAGACTATAAGGAACAGTTAAGAGAGTCACCCTTGGTATCCTGAGAGACGTGATGGACTAAGAGGAGATCCTCAATAAGATCACTCTCTGGCTCATGAATTATCTTACTTTTCTCTTTTGCCGGAACAACATACCCAACACCCAAAAGTCAAGAAGGAAAGATTTATTTATCTCACAGTTTGTGGAGGTTTCAGTCCATAATCAGCTAGTTCCAGAGTAGGGTGGCAGGGCAGAGGGCCAACACTTCAAGGCATCAGAAGGCACAAAAGCAGCAAGATCAGAAGCGGGGAAGACTAGCCTCTTTTCCTCCTTCAAATTGTAAGCAGGCTACCAACCCTTAGGGCAAGTATAGCAATCACTTCCCTGCTGTTTGCAGAGGCTCAGAATGTTTACAAAGTAAGGACCCTGGCTCCCAGCTGGATTGTTTAGTTAAACTTCTAAACTTCTCAAATTGACACAATGTATCAACCATTACAGGAGCCTTTCAAAGCTAGTATCTCTTGATCCTCTGAAGAAGAAAAGTTTTTGAGAGAGAGCTAAGTAAAAACCTGAACCTGAGGGATTTGGGACCGTTTTTTCCTTGCCTTTTGCTGAACAGATCCAGTTAAAGAATAGTATTGTAAAATAAATAGCACTGTAATTTGGATGGCCATTTTCTGCCAAGTGTTTTCCATTCCCTACTTTGTACTGGCTCCAAGCTACATTAAAATAGGAATAAACTGCTTTCCTCAGATTATTGGGATCTGATTGTTTCTAGGTTTGAGGGATACAGCCTAAAAAGTGGGTGAAATCCACCGAATGTTCCATGCTTCATGGGAAGAGGAGAGAAGAGCAAGTCTAGCGCTCTTCCAGGAGTGTCCCCATGGCAGGATTGAAAGGTCAGCAGACACTGACTTCTGGGGTGTCCCTCTAACGCTGTGGTGGTGAACCTATGAGGCACATGCTACAATGTGCTGTTTGCATCACTGAAAGCTCTAGAAGGTTCGCCATCAGCGAAGGCTGCCTGCTGTCAGATGTCTCTGATGAATAGCGTGGCACTGGTGCCCTTTATGCCTTGTGTCTCCTGTAACCTGTGCCCCTGAACAAGGGCTTATAGGCCAAGACGATGCCTTCACTGTATGTTTTATCCAACGTTGGGGGCTGCCTTTGTCTCAGTATGCACAAGGGAGGAGATAAGGAGGAGAGAGCCACACCAAAGGTGGAGTGTCGGGTTGGGCGAGCTGGGCATCTTGATAATTGCATCTAAAAAAGCCAACAGGGTTGGTAGAGACTGTAAAGATTTTGAAAGAACCTTGTCTGAGCAACTTTTAAAGCAGCATGAAGGAGCACTTCTAAAAAGATAAGCAAAGTGACAAGAAACCAACTGGCCCTTTAAATCCAGATGCAGGAATCCTGAATCCTGCTGGGAACCAGACCTGAAAGTAAGCTGCCAGGAATTAGAGCAGAAAGGGCAGCCTGGACGGGAGTGCACAGGGAGGTGGAATAAGGGGAGGTGTATTAGAACCCTGGAGTGAGGTCAGATGTCTGAATCAGCGGTGACAAGGCGTGTTTATGAAGCTGCACACACATAAAACAAAGAGCTTAGTGCTGCGTGGAGTAGTACTGTGCCAAGTGGAGCCTAAAATGTCCCATTCTGTGACCCGATGATCCTCTCTGTCACAGGCAGACACCCTCGCAGCCTTTAACTGTCTGACCGATGCCTGCCAGGAGCACCCAGAAACCAGACAAAGTAGAATTTGTCCCCTTACCTCCCGGGTCACTTCCCAATATAATGTTAGCAGATCCCAATATAATGTTAGTGAACAGAGAATTGATCAGGACACCAAAAAGGAACAGCAAGATCAAAGATTTCCTAAAAGCCAGAGTATACACCCCGGGGTAGCAATGCCCACTGAGGAGACCTCCAGCCCTGAGGAGATCCAGGTTGAGGGCTGTAAGCCTTAGAGTTTGCAGTGAGATTGAAGGGTTGATCTGAGGGTTTACTTCTGCCCATGAGCAGTTTAACTCTGCCCTAGTTGGGTGGTGGAGTTTTTTTTATCTTTTATGGCCCTCGGAGGAACTGTCACTGTACCAAGACCCACACAGGGTGGGGGTCATCACAGCAGCCTCATTAATGACACAGTACCTAAGACCAGGTCAACTAAAGGTTCCCCAAGACCACTGGGCACATTCCTGCAAACAGACTGTGTTTGAGCTGGTCTCCTGGTTACTGGCTCCTTTTTATTTAAATGGAGATACCCTGGAGCTAGGTTAAAGTTTAGCTCTGAAAGTGGATCTAACCCCAAAAGCTCACTCCAGGGTGGACTCTGCCTTCTCATGCTGCCCATTTTTAGCTACCTCCTACTTCATCGCCACTAGTCTGAACTCACTTATTGCTCCTATTCCTTTTCTGGTTGACTTCTTTGGATTTTCTAGATGAGACATCACATCTTCAGAAATAATCAATTTGTGATGCCTTCTTTTCTCATGCTTATGAGTCCAGTCATTTTCCCTTCTGAGATGGGAGCCACTAGCAATTCCTAGAACTAGTTACACAGAGGTTGGCTTGAGACACTTCTGCCCTGATGAGAGAGAAGGGAGTGAAGCATGCTGGGACATTAGTCACATGGCCCCATCATGAGTTAGGAAAATGGGCTGGCTCGCATAGCAGCCTGGCTGCAGCTGCCTGGACAAAGCCAGTCTCCCACCAGAAGTGATGCGTCTTGGAGAGGTTGAGGCTGGCGGGGCTGTAGGAAGGGTCTCAGGCAGAAGGAAGTGTGCTGGACAGAGTGAGTCAGGCATCTCAGCAGTGGCCCAGAGTAGGGTTCCAACCTGTTAGGCAGGGAAGCCAGGTCAGAAGCAGCAAAGCAAGGGGAACGGACAGGCTGATTCCTAACTGCTGGGCACAGATGGCTGCAGAGTTGGCTCCGGGCAGCCAGAAGCAGCTGGCAGAGATGAGATAGTCCTTGCCCTCCACAGTGGAGCCAGTTGGTGGACGCTGGCAGAAGCAGGACCCCTTCACCTTTTCTTTTTAATTTTAAAGAATGTGTTGTTTGAGGCTTTGCACCCCAAGGTATCGCGTTGGTGTTTGGATCAGGATCTGTGTTCACTACCGTGTCTGTGCAGCCCACCACCTCCTGGCTGCATTCTCCCTTCGGTATAGCTGTCCTGAGAGTGGATGGTACATTGTATCAAATGACCTCTCAGTGTCCATCCAACAGTTTGAGGAGGACTGCTCTTTCCCCAGTTGATGCAAAAAACTATCTGGAAGGAGCGAATCTGTGATTGGCCAGGCCTGATCAGGTGCTCATCCTCTGCCCCTCCCATGCCTGACTTTGGGCCACCCAAAACTGGGACAGGGGAGGGTTCGTTCCCAAAAGCAGAGTCAGGGTGTGTCTGCCGATGACAGTGGGCAGAGATTATAGACACACGAGACAACCTGGCCTCTTGGCCCATAGATGTCCATTCGCAGTCACCCTGGGAAGGTCCTTGGCTTCTGTGGTTCTCCCTGAGGACAAGTACTGTGCCTAACAAGGACACAGTCAGTGTTAATTGAATGGGTGAGTGACAGAGGGGTCGGGGCCCCTCCCAGAACTGAAGAGCCCAGCTCCTCCTCCCTGTGACCCCCAAATTGTGCAGTATGGAAGCTTCTGGGCTGGACAGGTCATGGCCCACCTCCCAGCTCTGCCTTGAGACTCTGCACCCTCCCCACGCTCCTCCGTGCAGGGCTCCCCAGGAGTGAAGGGTGGTGGTGACACGCTTGGCACAGTGCCCACTGCTCCTTCAGTGCCACCTTAGCAAATGGCACAACCATGTGTGGCTTTAGGGACATTTAGAAGACGGAGAACTGCACTGGCTGCCACCATCTAGGCTCGTGTGAGGGAGACACAGCAGCCAAGTTCACAGGGTCATTGCAGTTGTGCTTTCCTCTCTGGTGCACCTGCTGCCTCCACCACGCAGCCCCACGTTGATAATAATAGGGACAGTATGGACAATGGAGAGCCCGAGAAGAGCCCGTGCCACTGCAGATATGGCAATAAATTGATTTGTTGTTGTTTTGAGACAGGGTCTTGCTGTATATTCCAGGCTGGCCTTGATCTCACTATGTAGGCCAAGGGGGCCTTAAACTCATGGTGATACTCCTGCCTCAGCCTCCTCGGTGCTGGGCATGTACCACTGTACCCAGCAAATATAAATTGAAAAATGATACCTGTAGCAGAAAAGAGCCCAAGCTCTTGTGAATTTGGCTTCATCTCTTCCTAGCAAATCCATAGCCTTTTTTGGCCTCAGTTTCATCACCTGTAAAATGGGGCTAATAATAGAAACTGCTTCGTAGGCTTGTGATATATAGGTGGATTAATATGGGTAAAGCTCTTAGACCAGCGTCTAGCTCACAGTAACCACTCTTAAGTGTTATCATCATCATTGGTGTTGTCTTCATCACTATTACTCCAGGGAGCTCTCAGCCTAGCAAGGTGCTGATGGCCATGGTGGGACCGTGACATCTCTGGAATTGTTGTGACTGCTATGGGCTAAGTCTTCCCAGGAGAGGGTAATGGCACAGACTGTTCCCTTCCCCACCTCTGCCACCCAACCACCCTGGTGATGGCATCAGCAGCCCTGTGCTGGCTCAAAGACGGACCCTGGGTGAGATCTAGCCCCTGCCACTCTCTGCTCCACTCAGCCTGGATTCTCGTCATCAGATTCTCCCAGGGACTTTGGAAGTGCATATTCTAGGGATACCCCCGCCACACACCCCAGCTGCCAGCCTCCAAAGGCCTGTGCGGTGTGTCTAGGATGAGATTATGCTCTCATTCCTCCCTCCCAAGAGGGGCCAGGATCCAAACACCGGCTCAGACCTTGTTCACGGTCTTCCAGAGGAGATGGCTGAGCCCCTAACCCTCCTGAGCCTTGGTTTCCTACTGAGTTAAACGAGGGCCTGGCAAGACAAAGGCAAAGGCAAAGGCATTCACACACCCCATGCCTTCATCCTGACTGATGCCCAGTACTCTGTGGCTCAGGTCTCCTCCCTCCACGCAGGCCTCCACTGGGGGAAGAGGTATCTGTTATGTATAAGGGCCTAAGTCCTGGATGGGGCAGCTTGCTCCTGCTTCTTCCTGCTGTGCTTGTGGGGAGAGGGAAGGTGGGAGGTACCTCTTGTGTCAGTTACTTTTCTCTCATTGCTGAGACAAAATGCCTGGTGCTCAAAATGAAGGAAGGAAAGGTTTATTTAGCTTAAAGTTTTTGGAAGTTTCAGTCCATAATCAGTTGGCTCCAAGGCAGGGTGCTGTGGCACAGGTGCAGCTGTTCATTGTGATGGAAAGCAACAAGAATGAAAAGGGATAAAAAGAGAAAAGCATGCCTCCTTCCCTCTCTTGTATTATCTGCAGCTACTCACCCCTGGGCGGGTGCAGCACTCACACCACCAGTCCCAGAGCTAGACCACAGACCAATCACAAATGCTAGACTCAGCCACTTTCGAAAGGTCTGCCCCCATGACCCCACGAGGTTTTGGGGGGACATCTAGACACAAACCGTAACACCTCTGCAGAGAGCTCCCTCTGAACCAAAGGACTACAGGTCACACCCAACCAGGGATTCTGCCTGTTCCTGAGGAATTTCCCCGACTGACACAGGCCCTTTGTTTGGAGCTGGTCACTAATTTCAGGGCCTCCTTCCAAGGACAAAGACAGTAGCAGGGACCAGGAAGGCGAAGCATGGCAGCCCTTCTTGCTCCTCATCTCCACCCTGGCC